CGGACTACGTTTAGTATGCCTCTGAATATTGCACTTTACGACGAGCTCTGGAGTAACGCCTTCCTCTTGGAACATCTATCTCTCTCTCTCTCTCTTTCTCTCTCTCTCTCTCTCTCTCTCTCTCTCTCTCTCTCTCTTTCTTGTTCGGATATAAGTATGTAAGCATATATAGAACGAATGCGTGAATATATGTAGGTATATGTAGGTGAGAGAGAGAGAGAGAGAGAGAGAGAGAGGGAGAGGGGATGGGAGAGTGAGTGCACCCTCTCTTTCATATTCCATCTTTCTCCCTCGTACTGGGCTCTCTCGCGACGTGGTTATCGCGGTGTACGCGAAATTGGCCTCGCACCTTCGGAAGTTAATCTCGTTGAAAATTCTACTACATTGTACTCTACGACTATATATATATATAATATATATAATATGTAGGTGTATATGTACGTACGTATATGCTAGTGAAGCGAAGAAAGCGAGAGAGGGTGACAAACTTGTCGTTTATTCGAACGGCCGAATAAAATTAAAGGGATAACTGGCGAAACAAGCCAATTCGTTCGTTTCTCTGAAATCGTGCTTGAATATATATATATATATATATATATATATATATATATTTATATATATATATATATAAACTTTGTGTGCATACGTATATATGCGTGCATTGGGGGGTTTAAAGGTATCACCGTTTGAAACGATCCGGGAATTAACGTCGAGATACGAAACTACAAGGAAGGGGAGAAAAAATGATCATGACTTCTTCTTTTTTCTTTCTGTCGAATGGAGTGATCGATATTTCATAATTAAATTAATGCCTTGTGATTTTTACCGTTATCATGTGCGTACATATGTATTTATAAACTGGTATATGTACTTACATCTGTTCTATACGTACATGATGCATATATATATATATGATGCATATATATATATGCATCATGTAGAGATAAATGCATTGAACCTTGCGTATTTTCGTCGAACGGATCAATGTGCGGTTTTAAAATTTCGCGAATGCGATATAACGCCGATGACATTTCAATCAAATTTATTATGTGCTTGCTTTTCACACGAGAGAAAGAGAAAGAGATAGAGACAGATAGATAGATAGATAGACAGACAGACAGACAGACAGACAGAGAGAGAAAGAGAGAGAGATAGAGAGAGAATCGTCGAGAGAACGGTACTTGTTTCGATTAAATTATAATGCTCTATCCATTATTTCGAATTGTTCCGTGAATCGAATTAAAGCGACACGGAAATCATCGTTCATAGCATGTTTATGTATTGTATACATATAAATATATATTGTGTGTGTATGTGTGTCTTTGTCTGTTTGAGTGTATTAGTAGTAGAAATCATTGTGGAAGTTCTCTAGTAGCTTAACATCGTGTACAACCATCGTGAATCCTCTGTTAGGCTCGCGCCAACGATCTTTAGCCGCGAGCCTTAACCTTAGGGGCCACGGTTCACGTTCTTAGCATACGTCGCGCTTCGCGAGATAGTCTAGAAGGATGCTTCGAAGATTATCGAGACTCGTAAACGCATGCGCATTAATACGCAGGATATTCCCTAGCTAGCAAATCTACGGGGTGTTCTTTTATACTGTGAAAATTCGAATTATTCGAGAATTAGTTACGTGTTAATTTCTTCCTTTTTTTTTTTTTTTTGATAAAAGATATATATATATATATATATATATATATATATGCTCTGTCGTTTTAAATTCGTTTAGAATTAATCGAAATACGATCGATCGTTTTGTATGTCGTTATCAAGATATATGTATGTATGTATGTGCGTGTATACATATATACATATAAATTTTATCGAATGTTAAAATGTTACATGATTATATGAACTCGATATGATATAGATTTGATATGAATATTTTATATGATATTGCACGTTGTATAGATTATTTTGCAAATCTTTTGTTTGGAATCTTTTTTTTATTTTTCTCTTGTTTACATAAAGAACAATGAAAAATCATTTCGTAAGGATTTAAATATATATATATATATAAATATAAAATTGTTCACGTTGAAACGAATTCACCCTGTATAACGTAGAGAGTTAAAAGTAGGAGCTTATCTCGATCGCACGAAAAGCCGAGAAAACATTAAGGAAAATCCAAGATTGTTTCAGACTCCTCGAAAGAGTAAATTACGATCGTAGAAAGCGTATCTATATAACCGATAGCACGCGTAGATACTTACATATATACATAGCAGTATGTAGGTAGATACATAGCTATGAATCACGATTCGCGTAATGTTAGCTCGTCGTTTACGGAGAAACCAATAATAATCTCTCGCTTCTTCGTACCGTTTAAGTTAGAAAGCAAGAACAGATCGAGAGGATTCGTCGATCTCGAATTGTAATTTACGGAAATAAGCACGTTACTAGGGTCTCTGGGATCTTCTTCTCTTTCTCTCTCTCTCTCTCTCTCTATCTCTATCTCTCTCTCTCTCTTGTATCTGGATGTGCATTCCTCTCTTCATTAACTTCTGTTCAAGGAATTTTCATCGTTTAACAGGATTATCTGATTCCCGATCGATATCGTTACGTATCTACGATTTCAATTAATGTCTAGCGAAATTATTGAACGACAAATTCTACAAGAGGCAGTGGCACGTCTATTACTCGAGATGGTATTTGCTATCCGGTTAAATTAGGACGATGTTCGACTAGAACCTGGTTGCCCTACTTGATTTTTCGGATAGTACAAAATCGGTTTAACGATTATAACGACTGGATCGTGACTTGTACGGATTAATTAAGAGATATCTTTCGGCGATCATGCAATTAGACGATTCTATCTAAATCAAATGATATAAATATATATATATATATATATGGACACGTACGTATGAGTAGGTAACCTGAATTCTGCTATGAGCCATGTAAAAGTGTTATTTAGATGTCTTAACAAATGAAAAAAGCATATAACTAAAGTCGGAGATTAAAAAAATCCGACGCGTGTGGCTGAGTGGATAGCGAGGAGGAAAAGAGAGAGAGAGAGAGAGAGAGAGAGAGAAAAGAAAAAAAAATAGTTTCGGAGGGAGGGGTTCAGTCAAAAAGGAGAGGTATTTATTTACGCGAATGAAAAAAAAAAAGGAAGAAAAGAGAAAAAAAAGAATGAGTTAGTAAAGAAAGAGATAGAAAACATGAGGGTATGAGAGAAAAATTGATACAGTGGCCGCGTGTAGAGATATTGAGAGAACGAACGAGTATCGCGTTTCTGCAAGCGCATTTTAAAACCAGTATTTGAAGCGTGTGACAGGGGTCAACTCACGAATTTCAATGGAAAGACTGTATCGCAAATGGACAGACATTTACTGCATACGTATATATATATATATATATATATATGTATATGTATATGTGTGGACGGATGTGTTTATATATCGTGCCGTATGCATAAATATTGAGAACCGGGTCATAAACAATAACAATAACGACAATTTATATCTTATCCTTAATCGTGAAAATTTTATCATCATCATCATCGAGAAAATCCGTGGATTTGACTTAGGTAATGACTTCATTGATATTTATCGTTTATTATTGGCCTACATCTTTACTTATCCTTTCGAATACTTCAAATTATTTTAATACTGAATGATTTTTTATATTTAATTCAATATCCCATAATACTTATATTTATATTATATATTATTATTATTTTGCATTTTATTATTTCGACATTTGATAGAACAATTTGACGTAAGAGGAACGACGTCGAGTTCAATATGTTAACATACGACGATAGTAATAAAATTAACCTGGTATTCAAAATAGAAATTAATATTTATATTATATTTAATAGATCCGCTTGAAATGAATAGGAAAAATCTGAGAATCGTCGTGGAAAGTACGAAACTTGAAAAATGTATAAAATATACGAGTACAAATATAAATAATAAAATATAGACGATACGGTAATAATAATGATAACGATAAAAACATTAAAAAAAGTAAATATAATAAAAAAAAAATAGTCGCGATGATTATGCGTTCGAAGGGTACAATATTTGATTAAGAGAGAAAGAGAAATCGACCGTCCATACGTGTATGAAAAGGGAATGTGAAATTGGATTAAGAGACAAAGATAGATAGAGAAGGAGGAACCGGTAAAACGTAAAGAAACAAAGTAGTCTATTATACGTCTCTATTTGTGCGTGTACGTGTGTGCGCGCACGTGTGACGACGAGCAAATAGAAGGCGGAACAGCGACGCGAAACATTTTGCTATCGCCTGAAGGTATTTCGTTGTAGAGTTCGTAGCTAACCAACTAGGAAGAACGTAATATCCGCGGTTTGTGGATGCCACGGGTAACGCTTCTATATTCCACATTTTCGGACGCAAGGAAGAACGTTCATCAGTCGTCGTGACCGCGTGGACGAATCGAGCGAATGGCGGTACGAATCCAAAGAGAGTCTTCGTTTGCTGTTGCCGATGATGATGATGGTGGTTGTGTGGTGCCAGTAATGGTGGTGGGGGTGTAACGCGTGAGATGGCTGACCGTCGGTACGGGGGAGCCACCACCGTGATATAAGCATCGTTTGCATATGTGTATAAGTGCATGTATATGTGTGTGATTAGTATAGGAGAGACAGTAAAAGTGGATTGGTGTTACTCTCTTGGTGCACGAGAGAGTGCGATGACTCTCAAGAGAAAGAGAAAAGAATATGTATGTATATTACGTGTGTATACGTGTACGTATATATAAATGTGTGTGTGTGAAAGAGAGAGAGAAAAGATAAAAGGTATGAAAGTATGGTGGGGATAGGTAGGCGCAGAGCATAGACCGGGCCAAGGTAATGGGAGAGAGTGAGACAAATATGAGATATAGTTAGATAGAGAGAGAGAAACGTGACGCCGGGCGTAGGCGCAAGCGTAGCGAAGGGCTCGCGGCCGAACTTATCCGGGAATAGTCGAGCTCGGCCGAAGTCGCGCGTGGCACCGTTTGGGAATCGTCGCATCGACAGTCGCGAATCGACCGTCGCGTCGCGAGGATCGGTCGTTTTGTTTGTTCCGTGTTTAACGTTTCCATCCTATTATTACCCCCTTTTTTGGCAGTTTAATTTTTCTTTTATATTTATCCCCGATCACAACGACACGATTTAAAACGTGTCCTTGTAAACGATCGATAATGTATATAAAGCGACTTATGGCGAACTTTTCTTATGGAAAGTGAACGCCTTAACGTCTTGTCGTTTAATATTAATAAATCGAGAGAAGACTATAATAAAGTTATTTTTCGAGTTGGTGAACATTTCTCTCTCTCTCTTTCTCTCTTTCTCTCTCTCTCTTTCTTTCTTGATATGATAAGGAAAGGACTATTACGTGAATTATTACGAATGCCGTAACGAGAGAGAGGAATAAATAAAAAGCAATTCTACGTTAGAGTGTTATGTTGTTATAGTTCGACGAATAGGAAAGACGCGAACGTGCAAGAGGAAAAAAAAAAAAAAGAATTGATCGACGACGACGACGACGACGACGACGACGACGACGACGATAACAACAACAAATCCTCGGTATATATCCTTGATAAAAATCGTGGATCGATATAGAGGATATCAAAAGGTGACTTTATCGTCGTAACGAAAGATTAGTTCCGAGGATGCCAAGTGCGACGTACCGTCGCGAATACCGGCGAAACAAATCGATCGGATTATGAACCGTCCAAAAATATTTTCGGACTCGATAGATAACGATGGAAATCCCGTTGATCGATCGATCGAAACGGTCGATCGTTTTGCGTTGTAGGAGTGTAATACGTTTTCCTACGTGTTGTTAAAAGAAGATAAAGAAGAAAAGAAAGGAAAAAGGAAGGAAAGAAGATAGAGAAGACGAAGGACGAAAAGGCTTGCTCGACGTCCACCGCTAGTTCCTTGACCTTTTCGTTCTTTCTTCGTATTACTTCGGGGTTAGAAGCAAGGAGATAAAAAAGGGAGGAAAGAGATAAAAGAGTGTTCGCGAAAGTTTGTTCCTTTTCATTCTTTTTTTTTTCTTTTTCTTTTTTTTTCTTCTTCTTCTTCTTCTTCCTTTTCCTTCTTTCTTTCTTTCTTTCTCTTTTTCTTGTCGGCTTCGAGCTCGTGTACCTTGTGCTTTCTTTTTTTCTCCTCCTCCCGCCCACTCATCCCCCAGCCGTCGATATAGAATTTTGTGGTGCGACCTGTGAGATTGTTGTTTATCATTATCATTGTCATTATTATTACTACTACTACTATTATTATTATTATTATTGTTATTCGTTTCTTTTTGCTTTTTTCGTCTTTTTTTTTTTTTTTTTTTTTTTTTTTTTCTCTACACCTCGTTACTCTCTCGACGATCATGTGCGTATGATATTTAATCGTCGAGCTTACGCCTGGGAATTATTTTTTGAAAACGTCGTGAACGTCGTCGTCGCCAATAAAAAAGACCCTATTGGATACCATCGAAGATGCCGTGCGTCGGGACGACGACGTCGTTTCTCATCCTCACGATATTCGCTTTAACGGCGAGAGGTAAGTAATTATTATTTGTTCGAACGAAATCGTATGATTTTCTTTTTTTTTTCCTCCTCCCCCCTTTTGTTTTTCGATTTATTTCCTTTAACTTTGTTTCACTTTTGTATTATTTCTTCTTAAAAAAAAAAAAAAAAAACAAAAAAAGAAAAATGTAAAATACGTTTAAGCAGGAAACAACGACAATCGGCGGTTAATATCGCGTAATTCGTATTTGTACGAATACGAGCACGTAAATTTACATTCTACATTATTACCGTAATTTTCCTCGAGATAAAGTGCGATATAAAATTGGGAAGTTAAGAGGTAAAATCGTTTTGATACTTGAACGCGGTCGGTACTTTCCATCGACGTCTATGAATATCACCAAAGTTAATTGTCGATACGAGATGATAGTTAAAACGACGGGATTGCTTCTACGAGTCTCGTAATTTAATTAATTTTCATCGTATTTAAGTATCCAGAGTGCATTACCTTTTATATATAAATCAATATGCATATTGGAATGGATAAATGAGTTAACGTGGATATTATATACAGGCGATTGATAAGATCAAAAATGTTTGGATGAATTAACGAAGAAATTGAAATTCGCCATGTTTGATTAAAATTTATCGTTTAGATTCTTAAATCTTACGTCGGCCAATCGGCAATCACTGTTTGTGCTCTTTAAATCGATCGGCATCTTAATTTAATATGTGCATAAACGTACGTATAACTCGACGACGTTTATAACTAATGTACTTATGGTTAGACGTTAAAATGTTACATATATACACAGATATGTATGTATATGTATGTACGTACATATATCGAAGTAGAATCGCGCGGTACGATTAAAACTGAGATAAACGCCGACACGTAAGGCGAAGTAGTGCTTATCGATTTATGAGTCGGCTAATTACGTGCTTCTGGTACGTTTCTAAAGAAGTTTCTCATTTCCGAGACATAGGTTAGGTCGAAAAGCTTTTTCCCCGATCGAATCGTTCGCCATTGGTGCCAGAGTAATTCAATATATTTCATTTCGTGCTACGTTATTGTTCATAGTATGCGGTACATTCACAGAGTTTACTTGTTGTAAACTTTACGCGTAAAAAGATTTCAGTTCGTACCGAATGTAATTTTATCCCGTTGATGATTGCTCGATCCAACGGAACAGAATTCTCGATCGAATGTTGGTTGCGGTGCCGCCTTCTCTTTCCTCGGATAGAACATCTTGAGATTTCCGCGTAGAAATATTCTCTCTCTCTCTCTCTCTCTCTCTCTCTTTCTCTCTCTCTGTCTCTCTCTCTCTCTCTTTCTATCTCGAGGGATCGTAACCGAGTTAACCCTTTATAGAGTGACGGGACGTGAAAGTCCCGCTTGCTAGAATTCTCGCGATTTCTCACTCTAGATTTCTTCAACGTACTTACATATGTTTCTATCTATCTATACACGTATGTATGTATAGTACGTGTAACGCGCACGTGTGTAAGTATTTACATAGATAAAAATTGGAATTTACACGTATCGAAGTAATTTTAAAATACATTTACATATTCTTTACGGTTTAATATCCTAAGGTGATAAGAAAATGATAATCTCGAAATTCTTTTCTTTTTTCTTTTTCTTTTTCTTTTTCTTTTTCTTTTTCTTTTTCTTTTTTTTTTCTCGAGAAACACGAAGAAAATATCTAATTTACAGTCGAGGCAATGCCTTAATAGTAAAGATGTCGTTGACACAAAATGGCGGACGATCGAATCAATTATCTTCGAGAATATCGACGTTGTGCATTATATAAATTATTAGAAAGTAAGTTTCGATTGAGATACGAATTAAAATTGACTTAATATAATTGATTAAATCAAATAAGACATTGTTTCTTTCTTGTTTTTCTTTTTTTTTTTTTTTTTTTTTTTCTTTAATGAACAATTTAACAATTTAGATTCTTTTTTTCTTTTTTTTTTTTTTTGATCGTCTTTGAATCGTTCGAAGAAAATTTTCGAAAACTTAATAATATGGATTTGTTCGAAAACTTTATATAAAAATATGAAAAAAATCTTCGCACACATAAATATTCGAAAACGAGGATTAAATGAATTTTTGAAAAATTTCGTATAATTTTCTTACTGTCGTATGAAAGGAAAAACAAAACAAAAAATATTTAAATAATCAACGTTAACGTTAATATTAACATTAAAATTGAATCTTTAGGGATATCGTTTAAATATACAAAAAATGTAAATCACTCATCGTTACAAACATTCATGTGACCAATTAAAGATAGAAAGAAATAAAGAAAGAAAGAAAAGAAAAAAAAAAGAAAAAAAAAAAAAAGAAAAGAGCTACGAAGTATAAATAAATGGTAATAGAAAAAGGACAAAAAAAAAAAAAGAGAAAAAAGAAGACAAAAACCAAAAGAGAAAAATAGATAAAGAAGGAATAAGCGGATAGACTTCGTATTCCGCGATTTCAATAATTTTCTAGGATCGTCGTCGATGGTCGATTCGAATCGTTATAACTGTGTTCTTAAGTTTATTTCCACGTAGTCGATAGTCGTATAAACGCTATCATAGAAACGTGTCCCATGCGACGAGTATCTTTTCTCGATGGCCGATGCAAGGGTTTATCGGTGCCACGAAGTAAAAATATCCTTGCGAGGAAGGTACAAAAACGATCGGAGTCGATGAATAATTTACGAATGGAATCGTCGAACTTTTGTCTGTTCGTCTGTCTGTCTTTTTCCTTTCTACTTGTAAAGAGAGAGAGAGAGAGAGAGAGAGAGAGAGAGAGATAGAACGATATGTCGCAGAAAAGCGAGGAAGGTAGAGAAATAATTGATCGACATCTATGCCCTGCGTTGTCCCGAGCGTCGTCTAAAGATAGCATTGGGACTTGGACACGGCCTCGATGCATTCTCTCTCTTTCTCTCTCTGGACTCTTTTATATAGCCATTTGTAGAAACGATCCTCCATCTTAGCCTTCTTGTTCTTGTTCTTCTTCTTCTTCTTCTTTTTCTTTTTCCTCTTCTTTTTCTTCTTTTTGCTTGCTCGTCAACGTTTCTCTTTCCTCACCTTTTTCGCTTCGTAATAATATAACTGTGAGTAACATGCGTGTACAATAATAACGATAGGTTCCCGATAAGGTAATCTAACATCTTTCGTTTCCTTGAAAAATAAAAGAAAAAAAGAAAGGAAAAAAAAAAAAAAGAAAATGTGAAAAATTAGATGAGAACGGATACAAGTACGTATTTTTTTTTATTTTCATTTTATTTCTTTTCCTTTATCATCTTATTTTTTTTTTCTTTCTTTCTATCTCTGTCACTTACGTTTTTTTTTTTACAAAAGGTCAGAATTTTTCATACTTTAGCTACGGTAAAATTCACTAACTCATATATATATACATGTACATACACATACACGTATGCATTTTCGTCTATGGCTATCGACGAATTTACGAGGACCTCCGAGGGTGGTGATATTGTTTCGAGAGTCGTACAAGTTGAATCGCTACGGATGATCACGTTTGGATATAACATTCTCGGATATTAATCGTACGAACGAGATATATAACTATATAGGTTATAGGTTATAGGGTTATGACATCGTTACAGGGTAAAGTGCGATACGTAATGATCGAATATTAAGCTACGGTACTATTACGGATTTTCTCTTGTTTTCCTTTTTATTTTCTACCTTGGTATATTACTCTATCATTTATTTATCAAGTACCATAACTGGCCTATCATGTTTACGTGGGAACGTACGATGTGAAATACTAGGATAACAATTTATGCTTATTGTTAACTTTGGTCCTTTAGTAATTTAAATTTTCTTTTTGCTTTCTTTCTTTCTTCCCCCTCCCCTCGTGTCAGTATATAACAAAATAATATACTATATTACGATGTAAAGATATCATATATCAGTGTGAAAGTTATAATATTGTTTTATATTCGTACGTGCGTGTGTGTGTGTGTGTGTGTAACTTTTTTTTAAAAACTTTATTAAAAAAAAAAAAAAAGAAAGAAAAAAAAAAGAAAAAAGGAATGATATAAACTTAGAGTATAATTACGATAAAGTGAAATAAAAAAAAAAAATAAAATAAATAAAATGCAGATATGCAATAAATATAAGTGCATAACTTTAAAAGTTACATGACGTTAATAGAGGGTTAATGCAATTCAAAATATATTATATCGAATATATGTATATATGTATATTTCTTTTTCATGTAATATATTAAATAAATATATATATATATATATATATATATATATATATATATTTATTTATTTATTTCGTACGATTATTTTTTTCAATATTTATTTATTTTATTAGTTAAAACCAGGACATGATATTAGAGTTATCGCCTTTCCGACAACTCTAATTTGAAAATTCTGTTGAAAATATTCCTGTCATCTCATACATACATACGAGATCACATTCATAGTTCTATAAGAGCATGTCATCGCTTTTGTTTATCGCTTCTCATCGTTAACGCTCACGTTCGTTAATTCCTGCTGATTCCAAACGAGATTTTCATCAGAATTTTTTGAACGTTTAGCCGCGGATCATGTTGTATTTATATTCGCGTGGCAAAGTATATACAACATACACTCACACACACGCACACACGCACACGCACGCACGCACGCATGCACGCACATATTAAACTAGAGTATTGCCTGTGGGACCTCGTTTCGTTCGTATCCGATAAAAGTTAAACAAACGTAGTGGCCTCGCTGTTTTCAAATCCATGATGGATCATTGTTTACCGCTTGTTAAAAAAAAAAAAGAAAAAAAAAAAAGAAAAAAAAAAGAAAAAAGAAGAAGAAGAAAAGAAACAAAAGGTTGAAAGCGAAAACTAACAAAGAGACATGTAGGTTCGTGTCGTTATTAAAAAGTTGACAATAAATCTGAATCATTGAGATGGAGTTAAAGAGATAGTTTCTTCGGAAAGATCAGAACTTCTCGCGATATATGACTCACGGCTATGATTTTCTATTTGATATGATTAAACAA